CCTTCTACACAGCTGTACATACCCCACTCCATTCACCATGCCACCAACACGTCTCCTCCGCAGCGCACTGCGGCCCCTCACCTCCACCACCACCACCACCACCGCCCGCACCCACCTCCCGACCACCCAGCGCCGCGCCATCTCCGCCTACGGCTACGAACAAGCCAAAGCCCTCACCTTCTCCAACTACGGCGAGCCCAAAGACATACTCTCCCTGCACCAATACTCGATCTCGCCCGCGCACCGCGACCTCGTAACATTGCGCTTCCTCGCCTCTCCGATCAACCCGGCCGACATCAACCAGCTGCAGGGCGTGTACCCGTCCAAGCCAACCTTCACGACGGAAATGAGTACCACAGAGCCCATCGCTGTGGGCGGCAATGAGGGCGTCGCTGAGGTCATCGGCGTCGGTAGTGCGGTCAAGGAGGTCGCCCGCGGCGATTGGGTCGTCATGAAGGCGCCTGGGTTCGGCACGTGGCGGACGCACGCGCAGACGACGATGGCGAATCTCCTCCCGATCAAGGATAAGAGTGGCCTGAACGCGATCCAGGCCGGCACGGTGTCAGTGAACCCGTGCACGGCGTACCGCATGCTGAAGGATTTCGTGGACCTGAAGGAGGGCGACTGGTTCATCCAGAACGGCGCGAATTCCGGCGTCGGACGGGCCGCGATTCAGTTGGGCCGGCTGTGGGGGTTCAAGAGTATTAACATCGTAAGGAAGAGGGAGGGCTGGGAGAAGATGAAGAAGGAGCTGGAGGAGCTGGGCGCGGACATCGTGGTTACGGATGAGCAGGCAATGGACAAGGGCTTCAGAGATCAGGTCAAGGAGTGGACGAACGGCGGGCGGGAAAAGGTGCGGTTGGGGCTGAACTGCGTGGGCGGGAAAATCGTGAATAGCATGGCCAAAGTCGTCGCGCCGTATAGCCGCATCGTGACCTACGGCGCCATGTCGAAACAGCCCGTCACGCTTCCGGCCGGCTTGCTCATCTTCAGCAATGTCTCGTTCGACGGCTTCTGGGTCAGCAAGTGGAGCGAGAGCTACCCGGAGGAGAAGCAGCGGACGATCGACCACGTGCTCGACCTGACGCGCGAGGGCAAGTTCAAGGATATCCCTGTGCAAGAGGTGCCGTGGAAGTGGGGCACGAAGCAGGAGGAGCTGGTCGATGCGGTGCAGGGGACGCTTGAGGGATACAGGTCTGGAAAAGGCGTGTTCGTCTTCAGCGAGACATGAGGATACGCCTAGCCTTTGGAACGAATTAATATACCATTTCTGGCTTTGTAGCGGTGGACGGACGAGACTCCGGACCGAGGTGGCAATACTGGGCGAATAGCGACCTGAATACCACCATGTACATATATACATACATTGAGCGATAGCCATCACCTATACTGCAACCCAACTCGAGCAGTCTCAACCCAAGCACTTTCAACATTCTCACTAGCCCTCTTTCCACCCCCACCGCATGCTCATACTCGATCTCCTGGACACAACCGTATGCGCCTGATCGATTGATAGGTCCGTCTCTCGATGCATGTCCCCACTCACGCGCTTTTACCAGTTGATGTAGATCGGAGAGATTCAGCCTAGCACGTAGGACGCGACTTGGATTAGCAAGTGAACATATGCTTTCGAAGAACAGACGAGGAGTAGCGACGCTACGCTAGCCTTGCCATGCGTACTTGTCGCCGCCACCGCAATTGAAGACAAAGCAAAGACCAAGATCCGCAGCCAAGTATGTACCGAGGCTTAAAGGTCTGCAAGCTCATCAGACCATCAGCTCGATAATATCGCCACAAGCCGTCGATTCAGCTCATCGGAGAGTCTGCCCCTTGCACCTTTTGCAAATCCCGAAGCATCGTTTCAACTCGCACCTTCCACCACTCAGACCAATCCACGACCTTCTTCTCCCGCCTTGCTTCCTCGGCCGCAAAGACGAACGCATGGCTTCTGATAATCTCCTCGAGCGTGCATCCAACATACTCGGCTTGCGCATCCGCAACAGGCACGCCGTGGTTCTTGACAGCGTCAATGGCCTTGACAAACTGTCTCGCCAACCCAGCATCTCCACCACCATGCCCACCACCAGGCTGGTGCGGATGGAACTCCCGACTCGATTCGGTCGCAAAGTCATATACCGTGATTGTCTTGCTGTCGTATGCGATTTCCCCCTTGGTGCCATAGATACGTCCCCGCCGTTCGCACTGCTTTTCCGTCTGTGCAATCATGTGGAAATTCGCCGTTTTCGCTCCTCGGTTCAGCAGTGCGCGTTGAGGATCTGCTTCAGATGGCAATGGGTCGTCTTCCCAAGTGATGGTCACGAATTGGTCGTCGCAGACATCGTTTTCCGCGTCCCAGACACAGCGACCGTACCAAGGTCTGCCTGCTATCTCGTCATCGTTTGTGTCGCTGTCGTAGTCTTCAGCGAGGGTTTGGAACAACATCTGTTTTGCAGCATCTGGACCCTGAGTCCTGTAACACGTCTCTATCTCTGGATTGACAATATTGACGGGCCAGTCTGTGTTACCCTGTGCCAACTGTTTGTCATGATATATCTTGACTGCGCTAAAGTCACAAGTTTGCTGGTTAGGACAGCTTAGACAGTTCGTGGCCTTCCCGGCTGCTGGTGGCTTTCTTACTTTCCGAAACTGCTTGAGGGAGCCGGTAGAAGCAAGGTGTGAGGGTAAATGTGGCGGGTCCCTCTGGGCTTGTCCAGGAGAGCAGAGCAACCAGAGAAGGAAGTCAATGTCATGGCAAGACTTGGTCAGTAGAGATGGTGCTGTCTTTGATTCCCGACGCCAATTGCCTCTGCAAGGAGTAGTCAGAGGTGAACAACGACTTAGCCAGCCTGCCCTATCTTACCTAACATACGAGTGGCTGAAATGCCACCATCCTACTGGTTCCGTGTGTTCCATAGACAAGATCTCACCAATCACTTGTTGCTCGCGGACCAGTTCTCGAAGCAGCATATTGTGCGGACTGTACCGAAGGACATGTCCAATACTGAATACGGTCTCCTGAAAACCATTTCTGGGCCTGGGAAGCTGTGAGGCGTATATGTCAACACAGTCTCGCAACGTGGTAGCAAGAGGCTTCTCGCAAAGGATATGCAGTTTCAGTGGCGCCAGAGCCTTAACGACTTCGCGATGCTGCTCGTCGAGGACGCAGACGAAGACACCATCCACACTAGGAGAGACGGGTTTCCCAAACTCTGCGTTGTGCCGTCTCTGCACTTCCCATTGGAGGAAGTCCTTCCAGTCGTGGAACTCCTGGTTTTCGGCGGGCTCATCGGGGCCCCAGATATACTTCGAGCCAAGCAGTCTACGCTTGTATTTGATCGGATCTGCCACTGCCACTACGACACCCTCTGTGGACTGTGTGACGGCTTGGGCATATGCATTTCCACGACTCCCAGCACCGATGATTAGGATTCGGGGCGGTGATGGGGACGTGCTGTTCGCAATGGTCATACTGTCGGACAAGTCTTAAACAACGAATATCTAGAAGTTCATTCCTGGACAATATAGATCTATGACAAATTACAATCGAGCTTTTGCATGTATAGATAATGGTAAAGTGATGCTGAAAGGTCGATACGTGGTCAGCACGAGGTACCATTACAGTGCCCCAGATTGGACGGAAGTCGAAGCCGGGCGCATGACTCGCGGACCGTGTTTCTCCCGCCCGACAAATGGATTGCTTACCAAACGTCACTGAACTGACTCCACCCATGCCTAAGAACGAAACACTTTCTTCCTTCCTGATCGTAAACAATCTTCTACCCATACTCGAGACTCCTTCTCATCATGGACGTTGTACCAACATGCCAAAGGGTGCACCGAGCTGCGCTTAGCATGCGCGCGCAGAAGCTCTTCCAGCTCTCCCAGAAAGCCCGGTTAAGCAGCACAAGGCGGGCGGCGGTCACGCCTCGCTCTCCACTCACGCCGTCTACGATACCGACACTGCTAGAGCAGCCAGCACACTTCATCCCACGGGCCTCAGTGCAGCTACGGAGTTTCTCCCGCAGTGTGCCGGCGTGCACGAAAGCGATCATGAACCCGCGCAAGGACGAGGAAGGCGAAGAGATGAAGATCGAGATCCTACCTCGTGCGGCAAATGTAGGATACCTTCGTCCTTGATACTTGTATGATACCGAGCTGACCTTTCAACCAGCGACTGCACCAGATCAGCAGCACAGACAACAACCCCGACCTCGCCCTGCGCGTCTCCGTCGAGTCTGGAGGATGCCATGGATTCCAATACCTGATGTCGCTGACCAACGTGACGGAAGTGGACAAGGAGGAGGACACTGTGTTTGAGTCAGAAGATGGGAAAGGCGCCAAGGTAGTCATGGATGAGCCGAGTCTGGAATTGCTCAAGGGCAGCAAGATCGATTATACCATGGAGCTTATTGGGAGTCAGTTCAAGGTGACCGGGATACCGGGTGCGACTAGCAGCTGTGGGTGTGGAACCAGTTTCGATGTTGCGGCATGAGTGATCGCGCAAAGGATAGGGATTCGAGAATGAAACTACGCTGTTACAAGTCACGCGAAAGAGTGCAGCAAGGGAGCAGAGGGGTGCCCGCTGGTCTAGGGTGTGTACTATGCTGATCGAGCCGGGCCACTATGAGACGCTCTAGTTAGGCAAATCGAGGTCATTCCGTCCGCAAGCTTCGTCGCTACGCTCGACTCTTCCTTAGGGATTATCGACCAGCTCAGGCTTGGGGCTTTACCTGGTCTCATATCCTTTTTGCTGTATCAAAGAGAAATAGGTAGGTAGTCCTTGGCGTGAGGAGTAGGACGTCGTGGTTTATCGAAGAGCGTAGTGAGCAGGTTAGGATTAGGATTAGGGTTCGTATTACAAGTTAAAGGATCAGGAACGGGTCTAGTATATACACTGCTATCTCGATGTCCTTTCCAATATGTATAAAAAGCATATAAGCTATAATATACATGCTCTAGGAAGATAGTATATAATAGGCATGCCATAGAAGCGCAAAAAGAGGGGCGACCGTGGATCGAACACGGGACCCTAGGATAATTGCAGCTTACGTAAGCCCGCTGCAATCCCATACTCTACCACTGAGCTACCACCCCAAATAATCGGGACCCGAGAAGCTGATTAGCAGCTGAGTATCCGATCATGGGGGTGTTCCTGCTCAAAAAAACTATACCGCTTGATCGGGAAGGCACGACGCATCGCACCTGCCTCGTTCCACAAACCCGCACTTCCCTTATTTGCGTAGTAAACAAACATCATTGTCTCAATGGGCTTGACCGACTAGATCCTGCGCTACTTCCCAATGTTACGTCCTAGCTCCCGGGCAGTGCTCAGATACCTAGGTACCTATATCATATAGTCGCAACAACATTGCGTGGAAGGACGTGCCGTACGCCTTTATGACAGGGCGACACTATGTACCATGCTGACTTGACCTCTACATGTACCATTAATTACTACCCAAAGTAACATGAATTGGAAGCCACCTCCATGGGAGGAACTTTGGAAACAGAGAAACGTCATAGACGAATGTGACATCAATTACATATAATATCCTTTCCCTGGCATACCATTGATCCAACGCCAACCCTCCCTCCAGACCAAACCAATGCCTAGCATCACGCAACCTACGCCAACTGCTTCAGCGCAAACCCAAAAAGACTATCCATGCTAACCCAGCCCCACCCACTCTTATCCAAATAACCCCTCACAACACCCTTACAAGTCTCCCACCTGCCGCGATTCATCTCCGCCAACACCTTAACCTTCTCCCTCTCTTCACCGCCAACCTTCGCCTTCTCCAACGCCCTGTCGACGTCAAACACGCCCTGGAAATACAGCAGTTGGTTGTACAGAGCCTTCTCGCTGTACTCCCAACTCATCTTGCCCGAGCAGCCGTGCGCGAGACCGCGGGGACCGAGACATCGTGCGCCGTAGACGCTCATCTGGCGCGTGCGGTTGCCGCAGGTCGCTTCGTCGCACACGAGCCAGGCGGCATAGTAGCGCGCCGTGTGGGCGCGGATCTGAGCCTCCAGCTGCGCGACGAGTGATAGGTTGGGCATTTCGGCCTTGCACTCGGCGCGTGGGCACGCAAGACCAGAGTTCGTGACTGTGGCGAGGGGCGCCGTTCCTTCTGCTGCGTCTGCGATGGGCTGGAGGCCGGCGTAGCGGAAGGGCTGGTGGCAGCCTAGACAGGTCAGAGATAGGGCGTCGCAGTCCTTGAAGCGGATCGAGTCTGGGACCTGAGATTCGAGCGGATGGATCTCGTTTTCGGTGCCCATGAGGTTGCTGGCTGTGCTGACGCGGTATTTGCTTGTATCGAGGCCGAGGCATTCCGCGAGTAGAGTGACGTTGGTGCCTTCGATAGGCGCACAGAGACGCTCGACTGGGGGCAGGATCTGCTTGTGCAGGTAGTAGTCCACGTCAGGGATCAGCTCGCTGTCCTTCTTGTTCACATCTTCTTGCGGGTAACTGTTCTTCGCGGCCTGTTCTGCGCTGCCACCACTGGAGCCGCAGACGATGTACGCCATAACGTCCTTGGCTTTGACGCGCTTGCCCTTGGCCATTTGCTTGAGGGCGACTTGGACAGAAGCCATGGAGTTGGCGTTAGGGTAATCTTTTGGATCTTTACCCAGCTGGCTGTATATAGTGTATTTCCAGGTCGGAACGGCGCCCTCACGCATTTGGGCGGCTACGGAGCGGAGGTGGTCGTGGATCTGTGTTACCACAGTCTCTGGGTCTTCGCCGGAAAGGAGATAGTTCAGAAGCTCCGATGAAGTATCCTTGGATAGCTGACAGTACTCTCTTCGCCTCATATCCAGACCCTTGACTTCGAGCTTGTCAATCCACTTGCCATCCTTCTCGATGAGATTGATGGCCGCGTATTTCTTCTTGGCATGTAGAAGCAAGCGGCGGAATATGTTGTCGATGTCAATCTCGAGGAGCTCGTATCTCTCGTTGACACTCTTCTTGAACTCGTTACCAATCTTGAGCGCATCCATGATGTTATCCACATTGGTGTTGACCATGACGGAATCAGTATCACCGTAGATGACTCTAAGGCCGTGGGTGGATTCGGCCAGGTCCTTCGTCGACTGCAGAATCTCACGACCCTTGGAGGTGGTAAGGGCGGCAAGAGGTCTGGCGTAGAAACGCGACTTCGTGTAACCCAAACAACCATACATAGAGTTGGCTGTGAGCTTCAAGGCTTGCTGCTTAATGTCCCAAGTCGCAAGCTGTTCAGTTGTAGCGGACTTGTCCTTCATTAATTTCTTGACTTCACGACGTCTTGTGACAAGAGTTCTAATAAGTCTGGGCAGGACACCCTTGTTAGCTGTGTCTGCTGGGACTTCTGGAACCTTGTCGTCATCCTCCGCCTAGCAAATGTTAGCAATGTCCTATTCTAGGTTTTGGGTGACTTACGATTTCAGCTCGCTCGACCGTGGTGAAGTCGATGTTGAACTCCTGGATAATACTGGGATACAGCGAGTTGAAGTCCATAACCAAGATGAACTTGTCGTAAAGACCTTTTTCAGGCTCGAATACAAGACCACCCTTGTATTTGTCCTTCTTCTTCGCAGCCTCACCCTCGCCCCCCTCCGGGTCATCCTCTTCAACTTTCTTCTGCTGACCCTTGCCATATACCTTATCTGGGCAGATGTACTTGTTGCGATGGAACTCATGCAACAGAATGTACTCGTTCCGCTCAGCTCTCGTACCACTTAGAGTACGAGCCCAAGAATTACCAGCCAGATTGGTGAGAATCTTTGTCAGAGGCAAGATCTGGACCTTAAGGGCAATGGCAGCGATAATGTAGGTGTCGGCCTCGCAGAGCTTGACGTAGTTCATCAAGCCCGCTCTTGAAGCTGCCATCTTCAACGCTGTCTCGTTGTCAAGGTCTCTACGCTTGACCTCGCCACTGAGAACCAAATCGCACATCTCGTCGAGACTCCAGGACTGACACTTGCTCATAAGAGATTTTCCGAGGTCGTTAGCAAGATCACACAGTAATCTTCCAGCAGAAAGCTGTCTCTCGGCGAAGAAGCTGCCTCCGCCCCTACCCATGTTTTTGGGCCAGTCACTGCGCTTCAGCCGCCCAATTCTGTGCCAACCGGGCGTCTTGCGATCGCGCATTCGGCTTAGCAGGAGGCTGTAGTCGACATCATCCAGTCGGTGGCCCATAAGTACGTCCGGGTCAGCCTTGGCCAGAAGTGCCAGGAACATGCTCAGAAGTGCGCCTTCATTCTTCTCCATCTTGATGATGCCGCGGTGCTTCTCAGCTTCCAGCTTAAAGCCTAGTGGGTACTCGCCGTTCGGGCGCATGACGGTGAACGTTCTGCATGGCAGCTTTTCTGGCGGCGTAGTATCTGTCAGAGAAACGTTCTCATAGACCCGAGCACTAGCGACAAGGATTTCCTGCTTGTTCTCCTTGACGTTCATAGTCGTTCGGAGCGCAATGCTCATAAGTGTCATTGGAGGCGCCTCAAGGTTGTCAGAGTCTCCCAAGGTGGTGATTAGGGCAGGCTTGTCCACTGCTAATTCCAGCTTACACCAGGAAGCGTTGTTGACTGCGTTGAAGTTCCCGCCTTCAATTTTCAGCCAGCAAGGTCCCATAATGTTCTTCCAGAGTACGAATTGCTCAAATAATGCGGTGTTGGAACCGAAGACGTGTGAGAATGTCTCGCCAGTGATGTCGAATGGGAGAGCCGGCTTGTCGTAAGGGTAGAGTAGTTTCAGGTAGTCGGCTTCCTTTGGGATGTCGGGCAGCTCGAAGGCATACTTTCTCGAGCAGGGTTTGATTTTGTGCATACCGACTCGTAGCTTGGTCATAAGCCCGTCGACTTCTTGGTAGACGTCTCCCATCTCCACTTCCTCAGTTGTTTCACGACCGTGCTTCTGGCGGTACTCGCGAGGCAAAAAGTAGAGCTTTCGGAGGATGTTGTCGACCTTGATAAAACAACTAGCGAAGTTGCCGGTGGTCTTATCTTTGACTTTACCGAACAGACACAAACTGCCGTTGATCTCAGTGTAGTCTGTCCAGAACATTCTGAGACTGCCATCTTCCTCGACCACATCTTGTTCACGAAGCTTGCCGGCAGTCACTGTCTCCTTTTGCGGGCTGCTCATGATGTTCAGCTTGTCGGTGACGTTGGCCCATGCAGATGTTTCTGCTATGGCTTCTTCAGGCGCTTTTACAGGCGAAGAGCTTGCCGGGGTAGGATAGTCTGGCTTCTTCAGAATCTTTGGTGCTGGCCTGCTACCGCGGAGGTTGACACTGGGAGCACTCATGGTTGAATGAGCTGCTACCTCTGCCACCTCAAGCATGTCATCATCCTCATCTTCGGCTTTGATGTTGGCCTGTTCCTTGCGCTTTGCTATCTTGGCTACTGGGGATGATGGTAGAGGGTTATCGCTCATAGGCACGTCGTCGTCCATTTGGGGGAAGAAGCCGTCATCCTCCGCTCCTGGCTCTGCGGAAGCAGTTGGTGGGGGGGTATCCAGTAATTGTCGGTCGTCCTCCTGCTTTGAGATTCGTGGCTTGGGCCTCACGTCTTCGAGGGGAGGTGACAGGATTCTCGTTTTGCGGCGGTTCTCTGACTTGACAGGCTTCATACTAGGTGCTGGTCGGCGGCTTGGTACATTCGTGTCGACCTCGCCCAGAAGATCTGCCATGAATGCATCATCCTCAGCAGTCTTGATAGGCTTGGCTTTCGGTGCCGCTGCAGCTGCATTCGTATTGAAGTATTTGCTGATACCATTCGCGATCTTCTCTTTCTTTTCGGCGTCTTCTTCGCGTTTCCGTTTTGCTACACGCATCTTAGCAGTCGTACCTTCCATCGCGTCACGAGAAAACACTCACCAGCCTTGCTCTTTGAAGGAAGCTCCTCTTCACTGTCACTGTCATGCCGTCTCTCTTCCTGCCAGTCTTCGCGTCCATCGTCCACGTATCCAGCGCCATTGTCGTCTACCACGAAGTCGTCTTCATCCAAACGACTCCGCACAACCTTCTTATATCCTTCGTCATCAACGGTGTCGTAAATCTGCTCCTCGTCCGCAACTTCGTATGTCGAGAAGGCGGTCTTGCCAGCTGCTCTGA